CCTTTTCTAGGTCTGAAATACTTTTAGTTGTAGTGGTGTTAACTCTTCCCTGAAAATTTGGTAGAATTCTGCAGTGAAACTGTCCAGACCAGGGCTTTTTTTTTGTTGGGAGTTTTTTAATAACGTTTTCAATCTTTTTGTTTGTTATAGGTTTATTTAGTTGTTCTACCTCTGTTTTTGTTAGTTTAGGTAGGTAGTGAGTTTCTAGAAATTTGTCCATTTCCTCTAGGTTTTCAAATTTGTTAGAGTTCAGTTTTTCATAGTATTCTATTATGATTCTTTTAATTTCAGTTAGGTCTGTTGTGATATTGCCTATCTCATTTTGTTTTCTAGTTATTTGCTTCCTTTCCTGTTTTTCTTTTGTCAGCTTTGCCAGTGGTTTATCAATTTTGTTGATCTTTTCAAAGAACCAATTTTTGGTCTTGTTAACTCTTTCAATTGTTTTTCTATTCTCTATTTCATTTCATTCTGCTCTAATTCTTATGATTTCCTTTCTTCTGTCACCTGAGGGCTTCTTTTACTGCTCTCTTTCTACTTTTCGTGTTGTAGGGTTAATATTTTGATTTTAGCTCTTCTTTTTGGATGTGTGCATTTATTGCTGTAAACTGACCTCTGAGCACTCCTTTTTTCTAAAAGTTCTGGTAGGATGTGTTTTCATTCTCATTTGACGCTGTGAATTTCTTTATTCCGTCCTTAATTTCTTCTAAAACTCAGTATTTTTTGAGCAAGGTGTTCAGTTTCCACGTGTTTGATTTTTTTCCTTGCTTTTTTTGTTATTGATTTCTACTTTTATGGCTTGATGGTCAGAAAAAATGCTTTGTAATATTTCGATGCTTTGTAATATTTCGATGCTTTGGATTCTGTTAAGGCTTGGTTTATGCCCTAATATGTGCACTATTCTGGAGAATGTTCCAAGTGCGTTGGAAAAGAAAGTATACTTGGCTGCTGTTGGGTGGAGTGTTCTATATATGTCTGTGAGATCGCGTTGGTTAATTGTGGCCATTAGGTCTTCTGTGTTTTTATTGAGCTTCTTTCTGTATGTTCTGTCCTTCACCGAAAGTGGTGTGTTGAAGTCTCCTACTACTAATCTTTTGAATGCTGTTAGAGTTTGTTTTATGTATTTTGGAGTCCTGTCGTTGGGTGTGTAAATATTTATTATAGTTATGTCCTCCTGGTGTATTGACCCTTTAATCATTATATCGTGTCCTTCCTTATCCTTTGCGGTGGATTTTACTTTAAATTCTGTTTTGTCAGAGATTAATATTGCCACTCCTGCTCTTTTTTGAGTGTTGTTTTCTTGATATATTTTTTTCTATCCTTTGAGTTTTAATTTGTGTCTTTAAGTCTAAGGCGTGTCTCTTTTAGGCAGCATATAAACGGACCATTTTTTTTTTATCCAATCTGCCACTCTCTGTCTCTTTATTGGTGCATTTTGTACATTTCAGCGTAGTTATTGATACGTATGAGTTTATTGCTGTCGTGTTGTTGTCTCTTTTTGTGTTTTGTTGACAGTTTCTTTGTTCCACTTAATTTTCTGTGCTGAATCCTTTTTCTTTATGTATTTTTTTCATCTTTTTCATTGTTGTTGATTTTGTATTTGCTGAGTCTTTCTGTTTTTCTTGTTTTTTATTTTGATGTGTAGGATTGTTAGTTTCCTTTGTGGTTACCTTAATATTTATCCCTATTTTTCTTAGCTTTAAACAGTCTTTTACTTCTTTATAGCTCCTTGACTTCCTTTCCATATGAAAGATCTATGACTACATTTTTTAGTGCCTCTTTTTTGCTTTAATATTGTCATCTTTTACATATTGACGTCTCTGTTTACCTATTTTCAGTGTTTTAGCTTTGATTTGTTTTTGTGACTTCCCTATCCAGGTTAAAGTCTGGTTGATCTGTCCTGTGTTCTAGTACTGGGTTGTTATCTGATGTTATTGATTTTCTAACCAGAGGACTCCCTTTAGTATGTCTTGTAATTTTCGTTTGGTTTTTGTGAATTCCCTAAACTTCTGTTTATCTGGAAATGCCCTAATATTGCCATCATATTTGAGAGACAGTTTTGCTGGATATATAATTCTTAGCTGGCATTTTTTTTCCTTTAAGGCTTTATGTATGTCATCCCATTGCTTTCTTGCCTGCATGGTTTCTGCTGAGTAGTCTGAGCTTAGTTTTATTGACTCTCCTCTGTAGATAACTTTTCATGTATCCCTAGCTGCTCTTAAAATTCTGTCTATCTTTGGTTTTGGCAAGTTTGATTATAATATGTGTTGGTGACTTTTTTTTGGGATCTACCTTATGTGGAGTTCAATGAGCATCTTGGATAGATATCTTCTCATCTTTCACGATATCAGGGAAGTTTTCTGTCAGGAAATCTTCCATAATTCTCTCTGCATTTTTTATTATCCCCCCTGTTCTGGTACTCCAGTCACTTATAGGTTATTGTTCGTGATAGAGTTCCACATAATTCCTAGGGTTTCTTCAAGTTTTTAAATTCTTTTATGTGATTTTTCCTCAAATAAGTTGGTGTCAGGTGCTTTGTCTCACAAATTCTGACTTCCATTGCCTTAATTCTGCTCCTGTGACTTTCTATTGATTTGTCTAATTCTGAAGTTTCATTTTCAATCTTCTGGATTTCTGTTTGCTGTCTATCTGTGGATTCTTGTAGTCTGTTAAATTTGTCGTTATGCTGTTCTCGAAACTTCTGAAGTTCGTCTGTTGCTTTTTCTGTGTGTTTCTTGGCTTGTTTTGCATTTTAACTGATCTCCTTTCTGATCTCTTGAAGAGTTCTGTATATTAATCTTCTGTGTTCTACCTCTGGTAATTCCAAAAAGTTCTCTTCCTCCAGAAAATTTCTTGATTCTTTGTTTTGGGAGCTTGCTGAAGCCATCATGGTCTGCCTGTTTATGTGATTTGATATTGACTGTTGTCTCCAAGCCATCAAGAAGTTATTATATTTATTTATTTTATGTTTACTTATTGTGTCCTAGCTTTTTGTTTTGTTTTGTTTTGAAATACCTATATAGACTGCTCGTATGAGCTAGTTTGATTATTGGAGCCTTTTAAGCTCTAACGTCCTGTCACCTGGTGGTTAGGTGTGTTACTAGGTATGTGAGCCTAGGAGTTTGTTTAGTTTTCTAGTATGAAGTCAGGTCAAGTGTCCAGGTAGTCAGTCAGCAAGAGTTCGGTACAGGCTCTCACCTACAGTTGTAGACAGGCATGGTTGATTGGTGTAGGCACAGGTGTCTGGCTGCAGTAGGGGGTCACTCACTGAGTAAGGCAAGGGGCTGACGACTGCCCCTGAGCGTCTAGGAGGAAAGCATGTCCGTGTTCCTGAGAGTGCATAGGTGGATAGGTTTTGTAGCTGGACTCTGGGCACCCGTTGCTGTTGGCTCTATGGACTGGGAGGCACCACTTATTTTTCGATCTCTGTCACTGGTGGATAGGTGGCATGGGTGGAGCTACACCAGTCTTTAGGCCCCTGATGTGGGTAGGTGAGGACCCTGCTAAATGGGCAGGTTCAAATGTCATGAATCTGCCACTTCACCATATAGCTGATACAGCTGAAGTTAGGCTTCAGGTATATACCATGTTGTACCGTGGTAATGAGGCTCTTTGCTGTTGAAATGGGCCCACACAGGTCTATGCAGAGGTGAAAGGCATTGAAAGTCCGTGAACCCCTTATGCCTGTGCCTAGGCAGAGGAGCTGTGCCTACCCTGAGTTCCTCCTGGCTTAGGGGAGCTGGCAGATTTATTTTTTTTCCTGTTTGTTAATTTGTTCCCTCTCCAAGGCCAGGAGAATGGCTCCGGGCATGTGACAGGTCATACTTCCAGCCCAGGGGCTTGGCAATCAGTGAAGCCCACCCAGGACCCAGTGCAGAACTGGGAGGGGGCAGGTAAATGGGAGAGAGGTTTTTCCCAAAGTGAGTGTTTTTGATCCGCGTGATAGGTCAGACACATGTAGTTGTCTTTTGCCAGTTGAGCACTGCTTTTCACTGGTTCTGGAGATGTGGGTAGACACTCTGCTGCTGGGTTTCTCCTGATATGGAAGAAGCCTCCTGAGCAGCACTGCTTGCCTTAATGCACACAGCAGCCGAACTAGCCTGAAGTGTGTTGGCTTCCACCAGGTAAGGTCTGACGACTTCTTGCTGCTTCCGAACCATCTCTTCCTCCCCCTGCCACTCAGTCCGATTCCTCAACTTTGCCTTTGATGTTCAGTGCTCCTAGATTGTCATATATCATTGATTCACTTGTTTTTTTCAGGTCTTTGTTGTAAGAGGGACCACAGAAGTGTCTGACAACTCTGCCATCTTGGCCCCATCTCTCTTCTATTTATTTTTTTAGGTGATGGTAATAGGAATTTATGAAATTGAATCACTCTAGAAAACGTGGAGAACTTTGAAGCATTCTAAGTGGTGAGACTGTATTAATGATAATTAAGAGACTTGCAGACAATTGAATTAATATTGATGTAACAGTTATGTATATAATGTAACTCTTGAAAATTCAAGACAATACAATATAGGTATAAGAATATAAGAAAGATGTAATTTCAGTTTGACGTTATCTGTTATACAAGTATCCAGAAAAACGGATGGAAGAGTAGAAATTAAAAAAAAAAAAAAGACGAATATAGTAAGTGAAAGGATTTGTAGAAACATAAAGGACAAATGATTAGTTCTGCAGAGTGAGATGAGCAAAGTAATCAGTATGTTGGGGTAAATTGTTAGGAGTGATGGAAGTAGCATCTGGTTAGGAGTGACTTGTGCAAAGCTGACAAATATGGTATGTGGATGGTAGTAAGTGGAATACAACTTGAGCATAGAGAGGTTAGTTTTGTACTACCAACTAAGGAGAAACGTGTGTTTTTGCCGAGTTAAAAAAGATGTATTCCAGTTACAGATTTCCCACCACTTTTTTTTTTTTTTTTAATTATCAGCAAATTCCTGGTAATAAATTGAAGCCTGAATTTAACCAGTTTTATAAGGTACCTGATTGTTTACTCACCTAGGTAAAAATCTTTCATGAAAAATAACCATGCACATAAGACATGTTCACCATAGAAAAATTAGAAAGTAAAGTATGGAGAAAATTAAAATTATAGTTCCTAAAGTCAGACCTAAACTACTATAATCATTTTGGTTAATTCTAGTTTCTTTATTTTTATGTCCTTTCAGTCTCTCTCTTTCCTTCTCTCTGTCTTTCTGTGTGTGTGTATATATGATACATGTTTAGACATATGTATAGATCTGTACTCTGTGTGTATGTGTGCATGGGTATATGTATCTATAAAATTGGGGTTATTTTATATGAAATATTTTCTGTTCTTGTCCATGTAATATTATGAACATTTCTCCACATCAGTAAAAATTCTAAAAATTGATCTTTAGTGAATCTACAGCATTCTATTCTGAGATTATCTCAAAATTTATTTAACCATTCCCCTATTGTTAAACATTTAAGTTTTTCTTATTTTTATTTTCCTTTAGTAATGTACATACTTTGCAGTGAACCTCTCTAATAAAAATCTTTGAGTATAGCTCCTGTTTTTTTGAAGAGTTGTAACTGCCACTGCAGTAGGCCTCTTAAAACTTGCCTGGCAAAACTTATAACTACCTGTCTTCCTCAGTAAAAAAAACACCAGTTTTACCACTGAACATTACTGCAATGTAGGACACTACATTTCCTGTCCTCCCAAGTGGTGGGTATGGCCAGAGGACTAAGTTACGGTTTTTGAGATGTGAATGGAGATGTTGTGTGAGAGTTAAAAGGGAGCAGGGCAGGCTTTCATCCTCTCTCCCCTGTTGCCTCCAGTGTTGATGTACTAGCTGGAGTTCCAGTTGCCTTCTTGGAGTATGAGTTGTTTTTGAATAGAAACAAGTGTATGGTAGAGCAAAAAGATGGAAGGATTTTGGTCTCTGATTCAGTGGAGCTGCCACATCAGCCTTTGATTATTAACATGCATATTTACAAGGGAGAAATAGATTTTTTTCTCTTGTTTAATTATTTATTTAATTATTGTTATTTTTGGTTTGGGAGAGATATGACTTAATCCTAGCTGATGCATTGTTTACTATTGTATAATGCCACTATATAGTAATGTAATATGTTGAATATAAGGAAAGATGCACTGTGTAGTGGTAGATATTAGATCCATATTACAGAGAACTGAAATATACTTTGAGACTGGAGAGAGATTAGTTGGTGTCTAAAGGAAAGCATTTACAATGATACAGAAAATGCATCAGTCCTGGAACCTTTTAATAATTGCTGAAGTGTATTCTCAAATGCTTTTAATAATTATCAGAAAGGTTATTCAGAATACATTTGATAGCTTTTAGGAAAAAAAAACATTGAGGATTATATATTATATTGCATAAGTATAATCCCTTCCAACCCTATAAATTTTTAATATTATTAAATATCTTGGCTAGTCACTTTGGCAAGGTCAGTTCATAAATTTAACTTTTATTGCTCTCATATTTTGTTGGAAGAATTTTGATATAGGAAGTTTTTGAAAAAATTTTAATAACTAGATTTACTTTTTTTTGATATTGATTCTAAGAAAGTTAATCATAAATAAAGGAAATAAATGAAAGATGCACATTTTTATCCAGGATATTCCTCTAAATATAATGTTATGTATAGAAAAAAGACTTAGAAAGCACATCAAAATATTGGATGGAATGACTATTTCTACTTCTCTGAAACAAATATGTTTAATTTTATAATGGCAAAACTATATACTACTAAAAATTGTTTTACTTTAACCCAGGGTTTCCCATCCTTAGGACTGTTGACATTTTGGGCTGGATGATTCTTTGTTGTGGGGGGCTCGCCTGTGCATCCTAGGATGTTTAGCAGCATCCCTGGCCTCTTTTCACTAGATGCCAGTTTTGACAACTGAAATGTCTCCTGACATTGTCAAATGTTCCCTGATGGGCAAAATCACCCCGAGTTGAGAACTACTGCTGTAACCAGTATACCATGTCTTAGAATTCACGGTATTTTTTTAGTTTGGGCTCAAAGTTAAGGGCTCTATAGTTCATTAAACATGCACACTGAAGTCAGATAGACAAAATTTGTATTTTCCCTGCTACTTGCGAACTTGGGGCAGTACACAGTGCCTACTGAACCTCAGTTTCCTTGACTGTAAATTGGTGAAATACTACCTGACTTGAAAGGTTGCTGTGAGAATGTATTAAGATAAATTACATAAAACACTTTGATGAATGCTATTTTTCTTTTCTTCAAATGTGCTATATTGTTTGGAGTTATCCTCTTAAATGTGTCAAAAACCCTTTACAAAGTTCTTTTTTCTATGGGAAAGGCTATTATACTTTGGGCTCAACTACTTATAGATTTCAAGAACTTACACTGGGGATGCATAAAAATTTTAAATGTTAAGTAAATACTGATTCATGAGGTCACTTCGTTTTTGACTCTTTCTGATGCTCTGATTGTGAGTACTTTCAAATTGTATCGCTTAAGTGATTTCACTGTGTTCTTTCAAGGACTTTGAGCTTCCCAGATTGAGGATAGTGTTAGATGTCATCCAGTCACTTTGTCCTTTCCAGTTTTTGTCTTCACATCTGAAATTCTGCCAATTGTAACAGCTTGTGTGTCAGCTCCAGTAGAGGAAGAAGGCCTTCATCAGTTTGAACTTAGTCCACTAAAGACTTCTAAAAACTTGACATAGTTTACAAATAATAATACTCACTTCCCATTGTTACTTTGTAGAATTATAGAACATTTCCACTAATGAATGAAATGCTATCTATAATAATGAAGGCCATTCTTATTGTTCTCTTCCTGCAGAAAATTTCTAAAGACTTGGGGAAGGTAGGATAACTACCAGAAAGGCTGTAGCATTATTATACTGTAAGTATTGCTTTGAAAAATAAGTGTAAGTTAAGAATATTTTAAGAGTCCAATTGGAATATATGTTAGGCAAAGATATGTAAAATATAAAGAAGGATATATTATAATCATGTTAATAATTTATGAGAACTAATCCTATGCAGTCTTTTAAAAATTAAAATTGTGTTTCTGTGTATTGAGATGACGATTTTACCAATAGCATTGAAAAATTTTTCTAATTCCAACAAGGATTGATCTAGTTTATGTACATTTGCTTATTTAAAACTATCAGAATCCAGAAAATCATTGTAGTTTTGTAGGTTTGTGATTTGTTTGCATGACTTATTGTTTAGGTTATTTTGCAGAATTATTTATTTGCTGATTTATTTAGGTATTCCATTATTTATTTATTTGATTATTTAGTAAATTATTTATCTGATGAATTATTAATACATCTTCATGACATGCTTTAAATTATTTATAACTTAATTTTGAGTTTATTGCTTTCAGACGCTGCATTGTTACTGACTAGTTTTGATTTTTTTCTTTGTGGTTCTTGAAAATTAAAGTATTAGCTCTAAGGCAAAAGTATATTCATTGCAATGCCCAAGGATTTTTTTTTCTTGTCATTTATGATAGAGATAAAAATTTCAGTTATTCTTTGTTTAGCTTTAAATATACCTGTTTAGGGTTACCAGTGATAGAATGTTTGTGGGTTGTGTGCATATTTGTTGTACAGTCACTTACAAATTAATGATACAGCCTATCATCTGTAAACTGAGATTGACTATATAAGTCGCAGTCCACATTATCCTTTGTATCTTTAAAGGGCAGGTCTGTATTTCTTGCTTGCTTAAGAATAAATAATACAGTCTTGGATATTTTATTTTAGTGACAAATCTTTTTACTACAAAAATATTTCTAGGAAAGTTCAGAGAAACACGAGGTCCAACTTAGATTTGGTTCCCTGAGATAGAAATTTGACTGATGTAGGCTTTGTTTTTTAAAATCCTCATTATATGTGTATTGGGAAAACAACATGATGTTTATTTATAGATTTTTTTATATCAGTCATAAAGTTGTATTCATTTCATATCATATCTCCTATGGAAGGTTTTATATCAGTTTATTTTAATGAAGTAAAATGAACAAAGATGTTTGTAAGTGCATGGTATAGTTTTTCTGACTTCAGCTAATAATTTTTTAATGTAAAGTTTCTATTTTTAACCAAATCAGATCATTTCTTCTTCTGGCTCTATTTCATAAGGTGGTACAGTAAATAGGACTCTCTTGTTGAATAGGTTAAAATAGTCGTTTGGGTACAAGAGTGCCATGTGCACAGTGTGGTCTTTATGTTTGCTTGCAGTGAATTACCATGTACTTTATAGTTTTAACACTTTAGAGAGAAGCATCATTGTATATTTCAAGTTGGGATGCTATTGAAGTATAGTAAAAATGGCCTCTGTAGACAGGTTTCACTATAGAATTATAAATTATGCATGTGTATACCCAAATTTCTTATTTTGAAATATTGAATATATGAATATTTAATTGGAGTGCTGCTTTAGTGTCTTCATATGCTTGCCTTAAAGGAAGTGGTTTCCTTTGATTTATATACATGGATTTAAAAATGTGTTTGTTATACATATTTGTGACTTTTCTGGAGATGAACAACCACAAATACTGTTAGATATGGAATTTTATTTTAAAGTGTGCTTCAGTATGCCAATATGGACTTCCTTTGAAGAAGAAACCTGCCTTCTCTAATGTTGAATAAGATCTACTATATTAGTTGTCATGGTAACCTACCCAGCCCACATTATTAACATGTATTTGGAATACTAGTTGTGTCATCCAAGTGATCTTTCATTGGAAGACACACATACATGTACACATATGCATTCATGTGCACATATGTGAAAATTTCTCCTGACATCAGAATAATTTTTTTGGTATTGTAGATTATAATAATAGCTAGCATTTATTGGGCACTTATATATAGGCACAGTACTTATAGCCCTTATGTGAACTATATATTAATCTTCACAGTGAGATACAGGTGTTGTTATTATCTTCATTTTATGGATGAGGAAACAGAATAGGAGTTAAGTAACTTGCTCATTGCTACATAGCTGGGAGTAAGTGGTAGAGCTGGAATCAGGACTCATAGTCTGACTCAAGAATCTTTTTCTTATTAGTTTTGTATGCTTAGGTGGTACAATAAAGGTTTTTAACCAGAAATGTTTCTTTTTTCTTTTTTTTGAGAATATAGTTATTTATCTCTGATAGGTTTAACTTGCTAAATGCATTTATGTTGCTTTATACTTAGTCATCTTTCTTAAGCAGTGGGCATTACTTGAGTTTCTTGGATTTTCTGATTTGGTTCTTCATGTAATCCTGTGTAGCCAAGCAGACTTAAACGTATAGAAGAGGAACTTGTTCCTTGAGGAAATCGTGTTTGCCTGGTCAGTGTTCCACACTCAGATCAAGATGTGAGATTCTTAAGCCCAAGGGCATTTCCAGGGCTCTGTGAAAGGTCAAATCCGGTTTCCTTATAAAAAATGATGTTATTATTAGGGTCAGACATGTACGTATTTGTTAAAAATATGATTGACTGTCTCATGCCTAAGCTTTTATAGAAATGACCGCAAACATACTATTAAATTAACTGTGTATTTCAACATGTGTATGAAAAGGACAAGAAAATAAACAATTATAATTTTAAATAGTTAGATGTAATTACTTAGAAAATTCAGGGAAACCACTGAGAGCAAGAAAGTTGTGACTTTGGTATGAGGTGAAGGAGAAAAGATCTTTCTAACCCTGCTTGCTCCCTGAAGACAGAGGTAGATCTCCTTCCTGGGTTGTAACCACATAAAGCGCTTGAGACAACACGTCAGTTAGATAGAATTAGGCAGCAGCAGAGTTTGGGTGATGTCGGTATGAGTGCCATAAGAAACCTCATGTGTAAATGGCAGGGGACTATGGAAATCCGTCAGTTTTTAAGTTAAAAGATTTTTCAGGTAACCAGTACAACATGAAATGCCCTAAATATATCACTTAGGTAATATGAACTACTGTAATACCTAGGATGACCATGTAATTTATCTTCAAATACAGGACAGGTTTGAGAGTGAAAGGGTGTATAGTCTAAGTCCCTGGTTACCAACATCTGACTTACAGACAACTCATACTTGCCCTTTAATGGTATGTAAATTTGCCCTCACTTTGAAACAATTGAGCCAACCCCTACTTGCAACAAATTCTTCATCACCTTCACCTTCACTTGGTGCACCTGCAGCTTTTAGATCATTGAAGTTTTTGAGCCTTTTCTTGCGCTAAACTACCAACCCGTTGCCATCGAGTCAATTCTGACTCTTAGCGACCCTGTAGGACAGAGTAGAACTGCCCCCTAGGGTTTCCAGGAAGCAGCTGGTGGATTCCAACTGTGAGACTTTTGAGTAGACGAGCTCTTAACTACTGCGTCACCAGGGCTCCACACTAAAGTACATGCAAGTCTAAATAAGAATCACGTGCATCTATTCCGACTTACCTACAAATTCAACTTCAAGACACACTTAGAAACGGATCTTGTTCGTAACTTGGGGACTGCCCGTACTGTAATTATGCCAGCAGAATAGGTGTAAACTGGGACCCTCCTGGGCAAATCAGGACTTATGGTCACCTTAGTAATGTCTCAACTTTTTATTGAGTAATTCCTAATAGTTTTGTGTATTTGTATAGTGTATATTTAACAGAAATCTTATTTTACATGCAATATCTTTAAAAATATTTTTCTTTTAGTATAAAAGTGACTTCTCTTATGGGCAGTATTCATGTGTTTTTGTTGGCCAACAAAGGCAGCTTGTGGCTCTGGCTTTATAATTTGTGACTCTGTGCCTTACATCTTTTGTAACTATTTTTAAGGTGGAAGTCAAAAGGGTATTGCTATTGGGAATGGGAAAATAAGTATGGCAATGTTGGTCTTAATATAGTGGATAGTTCTCAAGTTTTTCTTTATATCACACTTCACAGGATTTTGGTATGTGAGTGTTTTGCCTTGTAAATATTTTAATTGATGACGTGTTTGACATTGTACTGAAAACTAATTCTGTTTCTTCTAGCTTCAGAATTTATAATTTCATTTGGACGAACTAGTGGTCAATCTTTAAAAGCCCGGACGCATGCCACATATATTGGTGAAGTTGGTAATTTTATCAAAGCATTCTTGAAAACAGCTGATTTTCCTCGGTAAAATCCTGTGGTGGAAGATAGGAATTTCTGAAAGAGAGTAACTTAAAGGTTTTTGTTTTTTGTATAATTATCTTTGTAATTCTCTCTTGACGTACATATATCTGACATGGCATGTTATGTTATTAGTGTCACAATTAGATTCTAAAATTTTAATTTGTGGTTTATTTGTGGTTAGAGTATGGCTGATCTGTTGAGCTAGGCAACCACAGCGTATTTGAAGGTGTATTAAAAAGTAAGAAAAATTCTTATGTAATAACTCTTATTCATTCATCAGAATTGTTTTTGTTCAGAAAGACCTGCTATGCTTGCTAACAAAAGTAAGGTCCGTCTGTGTAGTCTGCCTCGAGTTTGTCACAGTGTGAAGCACTTCCCAAAATACTTACCACTGTAGTTGTAAGAGTAATAACACAGCTTATGTGTTGGCTCTGAGAGTAACTCCTTTATAATTATGACAAGTGAAAGTACAGCCAAAGGTCATGCGAAACACAAGGTTTCTTTCCACCTCATCCATTTTGTAGACAGAATGTGAAATAGTTTGGGTTCCTGCATTGATACTTTAAGAGAGCAACCAAGGTTGTTCCTGCGGCAGTTTTTCATATATCTTTTCCCTTACCTCATACACATTTACAAAATTTGGCATGAATGTGTATTTGACTTCTGGACTAATTAAATAGAAGCTTATTAAATTTAGAGTTTGCAAAATGAAAAAGGGAATCCTGTTATACTTCAGGGTTTTCTTAGGGCACTAAATAATACTGACATGAGTCTTTAGTAATACCAAATACTATACTGACTAAATGCAGTGTCTTACTGTTGACCACTTTACTATTGATGTTGCTCACTAAAATAGTAAAAACCAAACAATATAACAACAGTAACAGAAAGATAATAAAACCACGCAAATTAAATGACATAAATACGGCATGCCTGTAGATATACAGTCTATTGATTAGATTCTGTTTTTGGCTGTCTGAATAATTTGGCTAGAAAAATAGAAGTTGGAGTATTAACAAGGTCATATATAGGAAAGCTTTCTATTAAAAACTTATAAAAAGAGAATGCATATTTGTTCTAGAGTAACTATCACATTGCTAAGTCATCCCCATTTTTAGTTCCAAAAAATACAGGCTGAAGAAAGGATATTTGGAGGAGGATAAAATTGGCATGTTTTAATTTTTAGCATAACTGAAAAAAGTTTTCTGGTTTTTAAATTTTTTTTCTGTTGTTTCCCACCATGCTTCCCTCATGCTGTAGGACTTTTTCTAGAGTAATCGTTTTCAACTAGGGTAGTGCTGCCCCATAAGTAGAATTTTGTAAATTTGTTGTTTTCTTGTCACAGTGATTGTGGGAGTGTTCTGGCATTCAGTGGGTGAAGATCAGGGATGCTAGGTGTCTTACAAAGTATGGGATAGTCCTAGGCAACAAAATACTGTCCTGAGTAACACGTAACATTTGAGTGTCTGCTGGATTAAACTCCCTTTAAAGATAAATCAGTAATTCTTCTGCATATAGTAATATTGACAAGTTGTTATATAATGTTATATGAAGAATTGATAGTTTTAGGTAAATTTGTGTTAAGAAGCTTAAGTAGAATAAAAAACTTGTCTCAAAATTATTGTAGAATTTACTTCAAAGAGTCCGTCTACTTCCTGATTTTTAGCATTCCCAACTAGATATTTAGTAGAAAAATTTTCAGTTCAGTAATGCAACTACTGGACGCTCAACAACACAGATTGCAAATATGTAACAAGGGATATTTAAGATTCCTTTTAACAACAAACTAAACTTTGAATTAGTAGATCTCATTGAATTTTATTAATTAACAAAGATTGTTTAAAAATAGTTCATGATTACCATCCTGAATATCAAAATTTCATTTTAATAAACTAATGCTAATAAGTGCATTGTTAAAATTATATGATAAAATTATTTATTTTTATGTTGTCTAGTCTTCAGTATTACTTTGATACTGTCTTCAGAGTTCTATTATACAGTTTCTCTGTCACTTCTTGTATTCCGTTTCTTTACCTACTTCATCCTTTTTTTCTACTTGAGGAGGATATGGTCTCTAAAGTGTTTCTAAGTACCACAGAATTAATGTATATGTGCCTTGAAGATATGGTAGAATTTCTGGGATAGGCTGTAACCACACTGTCCCATGTCTTAACATAGGTCATTATTTTGATACTGCACTTAGAAATAAAACCCAGGTCAGTTGCACTAATATCACGTCATCATTTTCTCCATTTCAACAGTTTGTAATTTGTCTTGATGTTTTAATCCTTATTTCATTTAGGCTTATTTCTGTCTTTCTCTTCACATTCAGTTTAAGGTTTGTCTTTTATCACTTAACACTAATTTTTATTCTACTTTTCTTCCATACCTCTCCTGTTTCTTTTCCTTACTTCTAATAGAGGATGACATGTGGTCTTCTTACTTAAATCCAGATTTATTCATTGTAAATAGATGGAGATATCTGACTGTTTTATTCTTTCTTCTTAGGTACCTATACCTAAGAATTTATACAATGAAATAAACATTTCAGTATAGATTACTTTTATTTTTCATTAATATTACGGTTAGGGAATTATACTGATTTTTTTTTTTTTTTGTAAATTATATGTGTAGTTAGGTTTTATTAGCTCTGAATTTCATTTCAAGATAGTAAAGAGAATGAAAGGGGCATTGGATCTGATAGGATTGAGAACCATTGCTCTAGAAATGTGGACTTATTCCTGGTAGCTCTGTCAATTCCTGTGCGTAAAGGATTTTTCCAGACTACACTATTGGAGCATCTTATATGGATGAGAAAAATATTGAAGCCAGAAATTCATGTAGAATTATTATCTCAGGATAAACACTTTTCCACTTAGGAATATTGGGGTTTACTCTGATTCTTTTAATACTTTTAAATGAAAATTAATGCTTACTGAGTATATGTAATAGTGGGGTTGGAAGTTGAGAGTTTATTTTGTCCAGAAGGCACCCAAGTAGAGTGGGGAGTTTTTCACCTAAAATTTGAAAAATAACTAACACTAACAATTCAGTTGGGTGGGGGAGGGAAACTCTCTGAAATTGATAACTGGTGTAATCATTGACAATTATTTTGAAAAAAAAAATTCAAATGTCTACACCATTTTCTTGCTTCATAGAATCTATACTGTTATACTTTTTGTTACTGGCTGCTTAAATGAGACCTAATTATAAAATAACCCAATTTAAGCCATTACATGAGTGAAACCATCTATTATAAAGTACATTTATGTATAGATACATGGTTTTGTTCATCTTCAGAGTGACACTTTTTATAATGCATGACAGCAAAAAACTTTAGAGATGGATGTGTGACAGTTTGGCAGTCATTTTCTTTTGGTGTAATGTGGAATCTGTGATCTGAAGAATAACACAGCTATTGTCATGGGTATTCTCTCCAATTTCACAGTTATATTTGCCTAGGCAGAGAACCCATTGCCGTTGAGTCGATTCCAACTCATAGCGACCCTTTAGGACGGAGTAGAACTGCCCCATAGGATTTCCAAAGCTATAAATCTTTACAGAAGCAGACTGCCACATCTTTCTCCTGCAGAGCGTCTGGTAGGTTTGAACCGCCAGCTTTTTGGCAAGCAGCCAAGTGCTTAACCATTGTACCACCAGGGCTTCTTAGAGAACACTTGTTTCTAATTGCTTCCTCTGGCTTTTATTATGGTTACTATTTCCCTAACTGCTACTGCAGTTTTTATTTAGACTTATTCTGTGGTGCATTAATGAAATCTTGAAGATCAGTGATTTGATGTCCTCAGAGGCTGGGTAACTTTGGTCAGTTCCTTATCCGTAGATTCCAACTGAGTGTCTTTTTTCTTGGTTTAGCTTCCTGATTATATGGGAATAGATCTTAGGAAAGTTTAAAAATGTCTCTATTTTATTCTCATACTTGATTTATAGTTTGGTTGGGTATAGAATTCTAGATTGTAGATAATTTTCTTTTAGAATTTTGAAGGCTTTGTTTCATAGCCTTTTAGCGTTCAGTGTTGCTATTGAGAAGTTCACTTTTGTTTTCTTTTCCGTTTTACGTGACCTGTTTTTATCACTCTGAAACTCTTAGCATCTTTTCTTTATATCTGAAATTTTATGATGAATTTCTTGAAATGGGTTTTTATTCCTTATTTATACTGTATCTTCAGAGGGCCATTTTATTCTGGAAACAAATATCCTTCAGTTTGGAGTTTGGGAAAGTGATCTTGAATTACTTTCCTCCCTGTTTTTTTTTTTTTTTCCCCTTCCTCATTCTATTAGTTGAATATTCGCCACCAGGGGAGTGTCATGTGATATGTGCTGCTGTGTGGTGATGAGTTACCTGACTATGGGTAGGTTGGTTTGGTTTGAGTCTCCATAATGTCTTTTGTGGTGAGTTTTCTTATGAGTAACTTCCTTTGATAAATTATCTACTTTCCAAAAACTTGAGATCTCTTGTCTACTTTGATCTCTGCTTCCACTATTTTTGTCCTTGTGAATTACACCTTTTAATAAATTATTAACTGCCACTTTAATGGAGTTTGAAGAGGGAAAGGAAATAAGCCCAGCTGGTTATTGTGTGCTGAACCAGTCTTTTCATGTAACGTTTACTGCTTACCTCTTTTCCTGACTAACTCATCCTGTAAGGTGCAGCTCCTGAAAGCTTTTCCTGATCCCTCAGTAATCCCATCTTAAAAAACCCATTGCTGTCGAGTTGATTATGACTCATAGCGACCCTATAGGACAGAGTAGAACTGCCCCATAGGGTTTCCAATGAGTGGCTAGTGGATTCCAACTGCTGACCTTTTGGTTAGCAGCCGAGCTCTTAACCACTGTGCCACCAGGGCTCCAATCCCATCTGACCGCCTGCAAATCTTGTATAGCACTTATTCACCATATTTTAATTGTTTGTTGCTTATTGTTACAGTGAGAACAGGAATTATCTTACTTTTACCCATATCCCTGTGCAAAACAGTGTTTGTTAATTGCATGAAAGCATAAGCAAAACACAGAAATGAGGTAGAAAATACATAGAG